TAAAATACACTGAGCTCTCTTTGATTCTTTTAAATCTGATTTAGTATACTCCTCCTGTTTGCCTTCTGATTTTTGATTCCCTAGCCTTTTGTTTTTGGATTCAAGCTACAATTCTGCTACTTTTTGCTTTTACACAGACTTTTGCTACTTTTAGCTAGGCTTTTCCTACATACATTTTGGCTAGATTTTTGCTTCTTTATTGGTTAGCTGGCATGTTTCTACCTTTGTTTATAGCTAGCCTTTTGCTTATAGTTTATAGCCTTTAGCTACTTTTTACCATTTGCTACATTTAGTTAGCTTACTGCTATTCTTAGCTTTTAACTGCTGTTTTTCTAATTGTAGCTAACCTTTTGATTTTAGCTTCTAGCTACAGTTCTGCTACATTTTGCTTTCAGTACTTTTAGCTAATCTGTTGCTACTTATACCTTTTGGATAGATTTTTGCTTCTTTATTATTTAGCTAGCATTTAACTATCTTTAGCCTCTAGCCAGCCTTTTGCTTCTACTTTATAATCTTTAGCTACTTTTTAACATTTGCTACATTTAGTTAGCTTGCTGCTTTTATCAGCTTTTAACTGCTGCTTTTTTAGTTTTAGCTAACCTTTTGATTTTAGCTTCTAGCTACAGTTCTGCTACATTTTGCTTTTTCTACTTTTAGCTAGGCTATTGCTACTTATACCTTTTGGCTAATTTTTTGCGTCTTTATCATTTAACTATCATCTTGGTACGTTTAGTTTCTAGCTAACATATTACTTTCAGTTTATTGTGAGCCTTTAGCTCTCTACCATTTGCTTCTCTTTCTCATTTGCTACATTTAGCTAGCATTTTACTATTTAGCATTTAGCTAGTGTTCTGTTCTTTTTAGCTTTAGGAAGTAAGTTTCAGCTTCTTCTGCAAATTGCAGCAGAGTCATTCAGTGCACAGTGTTCACGCTATAGCTTGGCAGAAAAAGCAGTTTCTCCAGTAAAGTCTTATCTGAACACAGGAGCGTCACTCCACAACCTGATTCTGACCTGATAAAATTAGACAGTTAAAGATAAACTAAAGCTCGGAGCATGAAGCTAATAATAGCGCGTCTCTCATCACAGGGTTTTACTTCAGCAGAGGCACGATGTCAGTGATCTCCTTCAGCTTGCTGATGTCCTCGTCTCTGCAGGGAGCGCACAGGGATCCCATCATCCCGACGATGAACTGGGACAGCTGACCAATGTCCAGCGCCCCGTTCTCAGCCTGCTGCTGGATTAGAGGAAGATCCAGGACCTCCTCGATCTGGGAGCGCAGGCGACCGTGGCCCGGCAGCAAGAAGGACAGCAGCGTCTGGACAAGCCGTGGAGAAGAAACAGTGTTAAAGCTGCTTAATACCAGAGAATAATAACAATCCGAAAAAAGAGAAAATGAGATGAAGATGACTTATAAACAGCTCTTACCAAAATTCATATAAGCTTAATTTAGAGTTTTGAAAACCTCAATGGGGCACTTATTTACCTTTATTTAAAGTCAAAACTTCCTTCTATAAACTTAAAACTCTCGCCTCATATTGACACATTAGGTTATCCTTTAACTAGCCTTTTGCTTTTAGCTTCTTTTAGATTCTAGCAGCTTAAAAGTAGCAAAAGGCCTGCTAAAAGCAGTCTTTTAGCAGGCTTTTTGCTACTTTTAAGCTGCTAGAAGCTAAAAGTAGCAAAAAGCCTGCAAAAGCTGGCTTTTTGCTACTTTTAGCTTCTAGCAGCTTAGCCTTTTCTTACTTTTAGGATTACTTAGCATTTGTGACTTTCAGCTAGTCTTTTACTACTTTTAGCTTACTTTTTGTCTCTAAACTACCCATTTGCAAATTCCAACATTTTCTACTTTTGAGTTTAGATAGTTTTTTTTTTGTTGCAATTTTTAGCTGGCACTCTGCTTTTATTTAGTTAATTAGCTTTAACAACTCTTCTTCATCAGAATCAGAATACTTTGTTGATCCCCGAGGGAAATTACAGGTGTTACAGCTGCAACGGTTCAGATCAGAGAAATGTGAAAAGAAAGAAATAAGCACACTAGAATAAAATAAGTATAAACACCCAGGGTTACAAAATAAGCACACTTATGTACACATAAACAGTGTACAATAAAAATATTAGAAATATTAAGAAAATGGGTACAGCGTGAACGAGAGATAATGTTTGGTATATTGCACGTGTTTAGTGAGTGTCATGGATAAAATACAGTAAATTAAATATCAAATAAAGACTAAAAATAATAAAATGAGCAGATCTTTCAGCATTTAGCATTCACACTACGTATTGTGTTTGAGCTAGCTCAGTTTATTTTAAAAGCCTGGCATGTTAGGAAAAGGACACAATTTGTTTAAAGAATGTTAATATCTACC